CTTGAGGCTGATGAATGTCTTCCTTGCTTCTTTTTATATCACCAATGTGCCTGGCACATAGTGGGTGCTTTGTAAGTGTTCTATCAAAAATTTGAATCAATTAACCTCTCTGTTGCATGTCAGTGATTATTTCTCTCCTATAGAATTGGAATTATTAGGATTTCAAATTGTACACGATATTTGGTTCTTAAGGAGACCTAGTATAGCACTTTAAGGTTTGGAGAACTTTCTTCACGACAAGCCTGTGAGATAGGGAGTACAAGTATGATTATCCCCATTTTACAGATGAGAAAATGAAGGCTCCAAGAAAGTGTAACCTTTAAGTCATTGGTGGATGGGGAAGAAAAATACATTGAACTGGATATTCTTGAGGCAAGAGGGCGACCTAGGCTACAGGCCTGAGAAGAGGATATGAGAGCCAGTGTGGCGTGAGTCACTTGGGATTGGTAGAGACCTTCTTGGTAGAGGCCTTTAGGCTTTGGGAAGCATTCTGCTCTAGGAATGGTGCACCGGCCCTTACATCTTCAGGGCCAAACAAGACGTGAGGAGTGCTCACTCAGGCCCATGGAGACCATTAGCACCAGTTGGGGCAAGCAGAGGCCTCCCCAAGAAAAAGGCCTAAGCTTCAGTGAAGTGGCTTGAATAGGATAAAATTTCAAACTCCCTAAAACATTTTGGTTTCTTAATCTCCAGTAGAGTCACTTAGTTTAGAGGACTATACTATGGGGGAAGGGTTTTCCCCCTCAGCCCTTTGGATCCCAGTAAATCTCAAACACTCTGGTAATTTACCTACCCAATTAGGCTTTGGGATTTGAGGATTAAGTTTGCTCTTGGCAAGCCTTGGGCCTCCCCTCCCCTTCCTCAGGCAAGGATTACCCAAACTGCCAATCTCTATCTGGGGATTTCCCTGACTACTGCTTTATGGCCTAGAAAGTCTTATTAATTCCTCTTATAAACTTCTCAAACAGGAAAAAAAAAAGAAGACAAATCAGCAAACACACTTATACAATAATAGCTCAGATTTCTGTAGTGCCTTAAGGTTTACAAGGGCCTTAAGGCTGACGCTGCTTGCAAGTAACATCCCATTTTACAGAGAAGGAAGCTGAAGCTCAGGGAAGTTGAGATACAGCTGGTAATCGGCAAAAACCAAGTTCAGTAAAGTAGTAAAGCCAGGATTCAAACCCAGGTCTACTGACTTGTTATTTCAGTGTTTGACCAACCGTAGACCATGTTGCCTCTTTCTTGTTCAAGAGACCAACCCACCCTTTCAGTCCTGGGTTCTAACAAGCAGGTAACAATAAGGCTTTCTAATGAATTTAAAAACTGCTCAGTGTGTGGAAAGCTGTGAGAGATGGGTCATGTCTTGAATAAAATATTCTGAGGACAGAAAATTGTGGGGATGACCTTTATGATTTTTCTCCTGTCTGATTTTTATCACATAAGGGATGGGGAGGGAAGAGGGGCCATGTGATGGACACACATTAAAGCAGCAGTACCACCTGCTGGACATAATGCTGGCCTTGGAGCCAGGCAAACCAGGGTTCAAATCCTGGACCTAAAACACATTGGCTTTGTTACTCTGCACACGTCACTTATCCTCTCAGTGACCTAGCCAATTCTTGAGACTAGAAGTTACAGAAAAATTGCTGCTCTGCATGGTGAAGGGTGGATTTTCTCTTTAAATTTTGTTGGTGCTTTTTGTTTTAACACTACAGTCTTCTATTCCCCCACCCCCAAGACCAAGCTGTTGTCAAAGAAAAACATTTAAGCCAAACTTACAGTGACCTTGTATGACAGTGCATGCCACATTCCCCACCATTGGTCTTCCTTCTCCCTCCCCTTTCCTCCTGCAACACCAAAGGAAGGAAGAGAGGTTTTCTCATTGTGATGGGAGTTCTCACACTGGCAGTTTCCCTATAGTGATTAGAGAATCATTGATTTTGAGCTGGAAGGTACCTCTGAGGTACCATTGGTACCAGTCCAATCCCCCTCATTTTGCAGATGAGGAACTGAGGCCCTGCATTCAGGAGCCAAACGAACCTTAGGTCCTGCTCTTCCAGGGGTCAGGCGCCACAGCTTGAAAAAGGCTGCAGAGGAAATTGAGCTGAGACAGACATGTTCCTTGCCAAGTTCCTATGCAGATTTCCTAGGAACTCAGCTGAGCCTATGAAAGAACTTGATAGAGCAGCCTATCCCATTGGGAAACCTTCAAGGCAAAAAAAAAAATTTTGCCCTAGCTGGGTGACATGCAGTCCTTCAGAGGAAGACTAGGTGTTCTGCATTTAAATTTTTGAGCCAATGGAATCATTTTCATGATAATGAGGCCTTGAAAAAGAGAAAAGTCCTGATTCCATTTTATGCAGCAAGCATTTTTTATGTATCTGCTATCTGCCGGGTCCTTTGCCAGTTTGCTGGGTCTACAAAGTCAAAAATGAAATAATTCCTGCCCTCAAGAAACTTATATCATAATAGGAGGGGACGAATGACATTCGTGTAGATAACTAAATACAAAATGTGTGTAAAATAAACACAAAGTCATTTGGGCTGGCAGAGGGCACTAAAAATGGGGATGGGGTGGTGAATGATTTGGAAAGGAGGCATTTGAGCTTAGCTTTGAAGGTACTTAGGGATTTCAAGAAGGGGAGGGTATATGGAGAATAGCATGAAAACCAATTTGGCTGGAATGTAGAATGAGAGAGGGGAGTAATATGAAATTAGTCTGGGGGCAGGTAGGTGGCAAAGTGGATAGAGCACCTGCCCTAGAGTCAGAAGGATCAGAGTTCAAATCCAGCCTCAGACACTTCATACTTGCTACCTGTGTGATCCTGGGCAAGTCACTTAACCCCAAATGCCTCACCAAAAAAGGAAAAATAATTAGTCTGGAAAGATAGATCAGAGCCAGACTGCAAAGGGCTTGAAATGTCAAATAAAAGAGTTTGCATTTTACCTCGGAGGCAACTAAGAATATCAAAATTTCTTGAGCAGGGTAATGACATAATTAGAGGTGATTTAGGAATATATAGTACTCGGGGATTTAAATCTCTATTTACAGCTATACTTTGTCTATTTTTGTCTTCTAGTTCTTTTAAAAAGCATATATTGTCTTCTAGTTTTTTTAAAAAATATATATAGTTGCTATGTTGTTTGGCACATAAGACTACAGAAATGTTAGTTTCCAACCAACTACAACTTTTAAAAAAACCTGTGTTTTTCTTCCTCCTGCTCCATCATCTTGCCGTTGAACGCTACACTTTTAAAGGTGGAAGAGAACTTAGAGACCTTGTAGTGTAATCCTCATTTTGTAGATGAGAAAACTGAGGCACAGAGAGAGGAGGTGACTTGCCCAAGGCCACACAGCTGGCTGGTCATAAAGACAAAACTCGAACCTTCCAGGCCAGTGTACTTTCTATCCTCACATCCCTCCTCCCACCCCAATCTCCTTTGTGTTTTTCTCTGTTTTACAGAAGGGATCCACAGGGGCTGATAACTGTGAGGGAGAGGGAAATGCCACAGATAAAACCAAGGTTATGAAGCTGGTATAGTGGATCGGTGGTGGTGCTACAGATGGAAATGATGAAGTCAAAAGGATGAGCAAGCTCATTTTGGAACATGTGGGGCCAGTGGGAGAGGCTGAGAGATGTGTAGGCAATTGGAGGGGAGGAGGGTGGTCTGGAACTTAGAAGTGAAGAACTGGAGATATAAATTAGGGGGTCACCTGCAGAGAGGTGGTAATTTAAGCAATTGGGAATAAATGAAATTGATAAGGGACAGAGTGTAGAGAGAGGAGTAGGGGCCAATGGGAAGACAGGTATGCTAATTTACTGCTGGTGTGGTTATGAAATGGTCCAACCATTCTAAAAAAACAATTTTATGCAAGAAAAGATACTGAATTGTTCAGACCCTTTGACCCAGAGATCCCACAATTGGGACTGTATCCTAAGGTGGCTATTGACAGCAGAAAGGGACCCATAGGTACAAAAAAGATGTTCATAGCGGAAGTGTTTACTATAATGAAAGCAGGAAACAAAATATGGGTCCAAAGAATGAGGAATGGCTGGACAAACGGGGATATATAAATGTAAGGGCATATTGCTGTGCCCTAAGGAATGAAGAATTCAGACAAACCTGGGGAGACTTGTAAGAAGGGTTATGGAGGGAAGGAAGCAGAGCCAAAAGAACAGTTTCCACAATGACCTCAACCACATAAATAAAGTCAAAGGGACCAGGCAACAAAACCCAGGCCAATTATAGAAGAGTCAACGTTACTACTACACTGTCAAAGTTAAAGGACACAGCTCTCCTTTCTGTAAACAAAGGATGCTTTAACTTGGAGGAAATGTACTTTGTGTTTGTTTATCAGTTTGAGAACGTTCAAGTTGTATCAAAACCAAATGAATCCATACATTTTAACAAAAAGAAAGGCAAAACAAGGCCTGTGCCTTATGGAGCATTGCCAGTATGGTTGGTTGGCAAGATGAGGGAATCAGCCATCTGAGAGAGAAGGAGCAATTACAGATGTGCAAGTAAGAATAGGAGAATGGTGTCATCGAAGATGAAGAAGGAAGGGAATCCTAGACTGTGGTCAATAGTGTCAAAAGCTGCAAAGGGATCAAGGGGGATGAAGACTGAATAAAGGGCGTCAGGTTTGGTTAAGTGGTGCTACAAGACAGAAATGAAGGAGCAGTTTCAGGAGGGTGATAGGGACAGAAGCCTGATTGCAAATGGGTGGCAGAAGATATGGGGCAGAGAAAGCTTTTTGGAGAAGTATAGCAGTAAGGAGAATATGGAGATGGGGTGGTGGTAAGATCAGCTAGAAGGGTCCAGAGAAGGTTTGGAGAGACTCGGGAATGTTTGTAAGTAGATGGGAAGAAGCCACTCTGGACTTCCGTTTTCTCATCTGTAAAATAAAGGGGCTGGAATAGGTGCCAACCAATAGTCCACCAGGGTGAAAGTTGCAGAGAGGCAGATTTATGTTTAATTGCAGGGAAAACTTTCTAGCAATGAGAGCTGTCCCCGAGTGGAATGGGCTGTCGCTTGGCGAGGTAGAGAGTGACACAAGAATAGGGACGCTAGCAACCCTTCTTGGGCTGCCCTCTTTCCCTCCTCCACTCTAGGCTGCTGGGGGCTGGGGTGTGGTTGGAAGGCGCCCCCACAGTGAGACAGACAAAGGCTGCACCACCCCTTCCCTGCCTCCCTCCCTCTCCCTCCCCCTCCCAGCCCCACCCTCGGGCTCTCTGCCGCAGTAAAGTCACACTGCTGAATCAGGCCCTGGCCACCGCCTTCTCCTCCAATCACGGCCGGCCCGGCCCCCGCCCCAGCTGCGGCGCCAGCCCAGCCTTTTAGGGGCCTCCTCTTTGCAGCATTCCGCTCGCCCCCTCCGATCGCCAATCAGTGCAGGCCGCACCCCTCCCCTCTCCCGTCCCGCTCCGCCTCGAGCCCGCCGCCCACTCTCGAGGCCCGCCCCGCGCCGGCCGCGCTCCGGCCACGCGCTGCGTGTGCGTTTGCCCCTGTGCGTGCGCGTGCGTGCGCGGAGAGCCGGTTCGGCTATTCGGGAATCTCGCCTGCTCCTGCCGCCCGCGCCTCCTCCCCTCCTCTCTGGGAGGCGACTCTCCTCGCTCTCCCGTGTCCTAGCGCGCCTCCTGGTCCTCTCGGGCCCCCTCCTCCATCTGCCCCTCACCACTTGCTCCCCAGCCATGCTCTGCGGGGGCCCGGCGCGCTTCCTGGCCCTGGCCTTCACCTCGGCGCTCCTGCTGCACGGAGGTAAGGCTGGCCTGCGGCCGGGTCGGGGGAGGGGAAGGGAGGGGAGGAAGGGGGAGCGAGAGAGAAAGGTGTTCCCTTCCCCCAGTAGGCCGGCCTGCGTGACGTCCGCTTCGCAGGTGCGAGCCGGCCTGGGCCCGAGGGGGGAGGGGCACGTTCGGCCCGCCTGCGGCCAGTCGGGCTAGCCCAACCCGAACCTCTGCAGGAGGAGCGGCCGGCCGCCCAGACTCCACTCGAACTTGGTTAGCCAGCTAGGAGGGAGGGCCCGAGTTAGCTAGCCTGGCAAGTTGGCGGCCCAGCGCTGCGTGTGCCTGAGCAGGCGGGCAGCCACCTTTGGGTCATCGCACCTGCGGAGTTGCGGGGGAGGGGAGGAGGATCTGCCTTGGCCCAACTCCTGGGAGTTTGGCGTGAGTGAACGGGATGCCCGTGACTTTTGTTTGTCTCCTGAAAGTTTTTCATGCTCTGCCACACTGCCCTGCTAGCAGGGCTTTTGGGGGCAGGCGGGTTGGAAAGCCTTGCTTTGAGCATCCCCGTCTTTTCCCAGCAGCAGACAACGACCTGAGTGGGGCCCGTGCGCTCTCTGCGAAAGTACATGCTGCTGCTGCTGAGCAGGCACACCTGTCTTAGCAGATTTCTGTTATTCAGCCGCTGGGAAGAGAATGCACTAGACTGAGTTGTGCTCTTATCCTGGAGCTTTAGTTTTGTCTCTTCTGTTCATGGTGCCACATGTGTGGAAGTTCATTCGTTGCATTGAGGATGCATTCGGGCCCCAGAATGGAAGCTGTTTGGAGAATGAACGAATACAGGCGAACCAGGGCTCTTTTTCTGCCCAATCGACCTTCCTTGTTTTAAATGCGTACAGTCTATAGAAGAAGAGGCTGAGGACTGTAATTATCAAATTCCAGACTGGTTTTCATAACTGTATGGCTTAAACCATTAGTCTTGGGAGGTAGAGAACGGGGCACTGGGCATTTTAAACCAGAGGTTCATAGATTTAGAGATGGAAATAACCATCTAGTTCAACCCTCTCATTTTAAGGAGGCCCAGAGAAGTGAAGTAATTTACTCAAGGTCACATTGGTAATAAGTGGCATAGCAGAGGATTCAGACTTAGGCTCCCGGACTCCATATTGATGCTTGTTCTGCCTTTGCAGGAAAAATATGACTTACCATTTCTTGCGTTTTTCCTCAGTGTGGGAAGCAGTGGATTGGATGCTACCAAGTCTGCTAAAGTGGCCTTAGGTAAAGAAAAGATAAACTGATGACTTGTATGTATAGATGGGCAGAGACTGTTCAGTTTCTGGCTTTAAAATCAGACTTTTCCAAGTTCGTCTGGGCCCAGTTAGGTCACAAATATTTAGAAGCTAAAGAACTCCTACTGGCTGTTTCTAAACTTGGACACTCTCCAAACTACTCTATTGAAATAAACACAGTTTAATAAATACGTGCTGGATCAAATGATCCTAAAAGGTTTCGTCCAGCTGGTTAAGAATCTTTGATCAGATTTGTGAACTTTTTAATTGTTTAACTTGGCAAAGACCTCAGTTTAACCATGAAAATTATCCAGAAGCCTGTGTTTTGCCTCAGGATAATTTAATGTTTAGGCCTAATTTTCAGAGGAAGTTAAGATGAGAAATCCCAGTAGGACTCAGTTCTCAAGTGATTACTGAAGCCAGTCACAAAGAGAATAGCTATATATGATTTGAAATCTGGTCAGGGCCTCAGTGCATGGATACTCGGTTTCAGGTTGTCAAGACTTCAAAGGGGAGGAAAAACCATTCCTTTTTTTGGTCTATAATTATGAGTAGTAATTATTAATTGGTTGTGGTATTAGTTCTGTAAATCCTTTGAGGACGAATTACCAAGGTCCTCTGTGGGCCCTGAGCAAGCCCAGGACAGGTTCTGGTTAGGAATTCTGGAGGCTGAAGTTCAAATGTAGGATGCATCCCTGCTTGCTTTATTTATTGCATATTTTAAAGGAATGAAGTGTTTCTTATGAAGGAGATATCTAGAAAAAGCTGAGGATTTACAATCCTTTTTAAGGACTAAAATTTTAACTCCTTTGGGTAGACATTTCTAAAATGTATGATATACTCCTCTGCTTTCTTAGAATATAAATATTGCAATACTTTAAAAGATACAGGACTTCATCAATGCATATTATAACCCTTTTTTAGTCTTTTGTATGAAACTGGATCTATATTTCATACTGCTTGCTTTTTAGAAGTATATGATCAATTATAAATACTACTTTCAAAACTGCTTGTTTGTGATTCCATCTTTTTTTTTTAATCCCATTTAAATGGGGATTAAAAAAATCCACATAGTGGCCATATCCAAAAATATGTCTCTGTGCCTTGGGTCCTTCACTTCTCTGCTAGTAGATGGGTAATATGCTTCATCATCAGTCTTTTGGACACATGGTTGGTCATTGATCAGAGTTCTTCAGCCTTTCAAAGTTATTTTTATTTACAATGCTGCTCTGCTCTCTATATGGTCTTTCCTACCTCTGTACCTTAGTCCAGAGATGTCAGACATTCCAACCGGATTAAAATGTAATTGAGAAATATTTAACCAAAAAAAAAATACAATAGAACATAGATATCTTGTTAATATGTGGTTTTCTAAGTCACTATGTGCCCTACAGGGATCCTTATGTACAGTCTAGTGGCCCCCTTTTCTATTTGAGTTTGCTAGCCCTGCCTTAGTCTATTCTCTGTTCTACCTGGAATGTTCTACTTCCCCCTCTCCTGACTGTCCTTCAAGAACCAGCTCACATTCAGTCCTCCTCCTCGAAGTCTTCCCTGGTAACTCTAGTCAGATATGCCTTTTCCTGCCTTAGTCATGGTGTAGCATTTTGTTTGTACTTCCTTTATGTATTTACGTATTATTTTATATTGGAGTTTTTATGTGTGCCATTTCCTTCTCTGCTATAGTGTCTGCCGAAGAAGGGCTAATTTCCCTGTGTCTCTCCTTAGTGTGTGACAGGTGTTTTCAAGTACTTAATGTCTGTGGAAGAGAAGTGCATTGGTAATCCAAAAGCTCAAGAAGAGAAAGGCAAACTGTTGTCACTTTGATCTTGATTTTCATTCGCTTGGCTTTGCAAACCAGGGAACTGAGCTCAGCAAACACAAATTTGGTATATTAATACAGTGACTGGAAATGTGATGATCTGTAAGTCATTTTTAGCGTTGAGGGCATTTTTTTGGGGGGGAGGGGACACTTAGGCCACTATATACCTTTTTGGGGTAAAAAAAAAAATCTATCCCCTGGGGACTAACCTTCTGGTCTCTCTGAGTTTCATTGGCTTGGGCCTTGCACAACAGAGGATGCTGGATGCCATTTAAAATTTAAAAAAAATTGTATATGACATTCTTTCCTTATCCCCCACCCTGCCTGTTTGCTGAAAGGAGGTATGTATGCTTCATTATCTGTTCTTTAGGACCAAAATTGGCTATTACCATTATTCAGAGTATGGCTTTTTTTTCCATGTTCTTTTCATTTACCTTATGATAGTCATTATGTATATTATTGCTTTGGTTCTGGTTGTTGTACTTTATATCAGTTCAGGCAAATCTTCCCATGTTTCTCCTTGTTTACTTCAGGAAACATTGATTAAACATCAGCTGTGAGCCAGGCACTGTGTTAGGTCTTGGGGTTTTTTTTTTTTTTGTTCTTGGACCTGTAATTTCATTCAGTTTTTGGTGAGGAGCTTCCCTTGGCACATTCATGAAGCTTAAAGTCTTAGAGAGTTTTCTAGGGCCACTGAGAGGGCGATTTGCCTACTTCTCCATAGACTTGAGTTGTGCCATGCCATGCCATGAGGCATCCCTGGCCTCTGAGTTTATAAAGACAAAGAAGAAAAAGCTCCTGATCTCAAAAAGCTTACATTCTACTTAGGTAGGAGGGAATAACATGTCCACATAGAAATAATCTAGAATACATGCAAAATAGAGTAGTTAGGGGCTGGGAAGTAAAGTGTTGATAATGGAAAGAATCAGGAAAAGCCTTTTGCAGGAGTTGGCTTCTGAGCTCATCCTTGGAGGGATCGAGGGGTTCCACCAGGTGAAGGTGAGGAAGGAGTTACATGTATCCCAGCATGGGGTACAGGCCGGGCAAAATCATGGAAGCAAGAGATAGACTCATGTAGAGAAAAGACAAGTAGACAGAAGCATAGAGTTCTTGGGGAGAGTAATGTGGAATCAGTCAGTCTGGAAAGGTAGTCTGGAGCTAGACTGGGAAAGGCTTTCAGTGCTAAAGAAGGGAGTTTATATTTTGTCCTAGTTGCAGGTAGAGAGCAGAAAACAGTAACCTGTTTAGACACATGATTTAGGAATTTCAGTTTGGCAGCCATGGGGAATAGCCTTTGAAAAGGGAAAAGGTTGGATGGGGCGGGGGAGGGCAGTCCGTTAAGAAGCCAGTGCAGTAGCTAGGTGAGAGGTGATGAACCACATGTGAACCACCTGAATTGGGGTGCTTGGCTCAGTGAGTGTAGGAAAGGGGTTGGATGTAACAGATGGTGAGGTAGAATCAAGAGACACGGCACCTGTTGTTATATTGGGATGGGTTAGTGAGGGTAGAGTACTGTCTCAAAGTACTTTATATTGTCTTTTGTGCATATTTCATATTTACTTATATATGCTCAAGTTATTTTTCCCCCAGTAGAAAGTAAACTCTTTTAGGGTAGGAGTTATTTGGTTTTTGTCTCTGTATGCCTAGGTTAGTACCTGGCACATAGGTACTTAATGTTTATTTAATGAATAAAGAATATTTCTGCCCTCAACAGAAATAGAGAAGGGGTAAGTTTATGGGGAAAGATACTGTGTTTTATTTTGGACCTGTTGAGTCTGAAATGCTTGGAGATGTGGGACGGGAGCTCAGGACAGAAGAGGGCTAGCTATAGAGATACTACATGTAGTCTATATTTCTTATTGAACAATAATGCATCACAAACATAGAACACAATTTGTTCAGCATTTCCCAGCCAGTCAGTACCCACTTTTT